TCATTCAACCCATTTTACAGTGATCATCTAGGCAATCACTAATACTGCATCACGATCGTACACAGTAAAAGAATCTTTCATTCAATACATATCTACTATCTTCGGTACTGCTTTGAACACATCTGTGTTCATCATAATAACCGTATGCTTTTGCTCATCTTTTGATTCTTTTCCTTTGTTTCATGATATGCTGGCGGCATTTCATAGCCAAAACCTTTACAGGCGCCGATAAGTCATGGGTATCTTGAAATCATTTACCAGAATCCCGTCCCAGTCTCCAGACGCCAAGAAAGAACAACAAGCTGAAATCCGAGGTTGCCTGCTTCTACTTGCTAGAAACAGGCTTGATGGGATTGATCTAGATCGATATGAAGTCCTTCTGTTCTTCAAAATCGGAAAGGTCCGAGTCTGCATCAATGAACTCGGCAACTTCATCTGAATCAACATCGTCGGAATCAGCAGCTTCGTCATCACTTGAAATGTCTCCAAGAGGCTCGCCAGCGGCATTGGTTTTGTTCCGGAGGACGCTTGCCCTCTCACGGTGCGGGAGCTTACATCCCTTGACCTTACAGCGGCCGGTATTGCTAAAGTCAGGGCACTCAAAAACGTGACGGTCAGTACACTCTGCTCCTATCTCGCAGTACCCGTTGAAACCAAAATTGCGACAAACTGGGGCGCCTGGGGAAGCTTTAGAGTGAGTATAGGGACAGTCAGCCTTGGCACAGTGGCCTTTGGCAAAATGCAAACAGTTTGGGGTGCGCTCAGGAGTCATGTCATGGGAGAGGTCACAAGACTCGCCGTTGACACATTGCCCGTCTTTCAGCATATCTTTACAGAGTGCCACTTTGTTCGGGTCGTGAATGTACCGGCACCGAGGGCCTTTGGTGCATGAACCTATGTGCAAAGTACTCGTCAGTTTCGCCCCATGGCCACTGGGCCGGTCTAGGTAAAGGAGATGTGTAGCACTCCAGCCTGGGGAAGAGAAATTACCAGTCGTTGAGAAGATTTTACAGAGTTGATTTATCTTCTTGACCGTGCCGGTTCGCCTTGACCTTGTCAGCAACTTCGTCTCACTAAAAAGAACCCCGTACCGTTGGTCGTTAACGAATCTGTTCGCAACGAGGTTTCCTGTCTTTGTCCGGTAAAACTTGACTCCAGCAACAGTGGCGAACTTTGGAGTTCGTGAGGAGGAGTTGAGGGCATCTGCAGCGGGTAAGGCACAAGCGTCGGAGTCGCGCCGAAGTTTGCACGCACCAGGAATCTTGACAAGCTTCTTGCCACCGTCCATGACGCGGAATTGGACACCTTCGATGGTGAGCACGTTGCGGTCTGCAGGGTTAGTCTGCGCGCTCGAAGCAGTAGCTTGATGCTTCAGAAACTCGTTGAACTGAGCCTTCTCGCGCTGTCGGCGTCCACTGATCTTTCTCTGGCGTGTTTGTTCGATGGCCTTGGCTCGATTCTGGGTTTCCTTCTCATACACGTTGGCATTAATAAGTTGACGGTGGCGATCGGTTCTGGAAACCCAACCAGGGGGTGTTTCAGCACCACTACTGGCAGACCGAGAAGCAGTTGAGTTGTCGCCATTCAAGTGAAGGGTTCGGTGGTGATGCGCCGTAGGGTGGCGGCCAATTCTATTATGGCGAGCTGGGTACGGTGAGCTCGCATGTCGATAGGAGTTTTCTAGGCATATCAGTAGTGATCTCCCCTCAGGACAAGTTTCCGCATACGACGATGATGGGCAGGATGAAGGCTTGGAGATCCCCGAGAGCCCGCTTGCTGGTTCTTATGTCGGTTGATCTGGCCTAGGATTCATCAGCAAGTTGAAATTACCATGATGCGCGAGGGGCACAAACCCGCAACTTGACTGATACGAGCCAGAAGTTCTCGTTCTTCTTCTGACATGTTGTTAATGGCTTGGTGTGACGGGACTGACTGTGTGTTTGTAAAGGGCGCAGTGGTTTTATGGATAAAAATTGGTGGTGTTTGGGATGGATTATTGTAGGTTATAAATAACAGCGAAAGCGTCAAGCAGTGGGAGACGGGCGGCAGGATGCATCATCAAAGAAGCATTATTAGTCATCCTCACTCCGAAGCATCATTGGTTGGCTGCTTTCGCATCTTAACCGCTATCACAAGGCTGAGCTTTGTTGTCAATCATCTTTCAACTTCTACAAAATCTATTTATCCAAGACTTAAGCAAATTATCTCTTGACGATTGGGACGCGTCGTGACCGACATACTATCTTCTTCGTCCTTTCTGTGCATCGATATCCCCACGCAGAAACTACACAAACAATCTCATCCCATCGCGACTCGACCGTTAACCATGGCATCCACATGGGATCTCTTGGATCCTGAGGAAGAGGCTGAGCTTCATAAGACTCGCCTCCTCAATGTCGAAGAGAAGCCTTTTAAGCGCCTCGCCAAACGAGCCAATACCATATCACAGCTCTTACTATCATTCGATCCTGCCATAAATGGAGCCAATACGTCTGGAGATATCAAGCCCAAACTCAAGCAGCTTAAGGAGGACATGAACCTTGACTTCGATGCTTTTGGTAGCAGTATCACGCGCATGCAATTCCTCCACAACGCAAATTCCCAAGAACGTGAGCGCTACAGAGTCGACCAAGACCGTATCCTCGCCGATTGCCAATCGGTACGACAAAACAATATCCAACTTCGAGAGCAGCTCGAGGCCGCACAAGCCACCCTCGCACAGCGCAAACAATTCGACGAGCTGGCGGAAAAAATCACATCGAACCGTCTTCTTCGACCACGGGAAGACCAAATTACCAACCTTGCTAAGCTCGAGGAAGAGTGTCGAGAGCTAGAGCGAGAGAGTGAAACCTACAGCGAAACTTGGAGAGAACGGCGAGAACAGTTCAATAGAATCATGGAAGAAGGGATGCTCTTGCGGCGACAGATTAGAGATGAAAAAGAGGAGGTCGATCGTCGAGAGGGTATGAATGAGGATGCTGAGGATGACGCCGAAGTGGACAAGGTCGGCCAGACACCCAGAAACGAACCGAGCGGTAACGCGACACCTCATCCCGACCTGGACAGCCAGATGAAGGCAGATGGGGACGCAGGTACACCAAACCCGGAAGCCCTCAACGGAGGAACAACACCAATGAGGGATACACCAGGCCCAGACACGCTTAAGCCACCTTCTGGTCATAATGAGTCTCAAAGCCGGGGAGATAGCCAGGCTCCCAGTCGGGATGCTTCACCTATGCCACCACACAGCGAGCGCAGGGCAGAATCGGGAGACGATGTCGACATGGAGGAGTCTGAAGTGACAGTTGAACCACCTGAAAGTAATGATGACAAGATGGAAGTAGACAATTAGGGCTTTCCATTCGGCTGTTTGTACTATCGTTTATATCCTAAGATACCATCGCGGGAAGGGGGCGTTTTTAGGCATAGGTCATCGGAAGGAAAGAGTGTCTACGTTATTTTATCATCCTCAAGACTCTGCCCCATTAGGCTGACATGACATCATCGGCCGAAAATAACCACGACAGCCTTTTCTGTTCACTAACTGATGTCCAAAAACGCCCCTCTCCCGCAATAGGTACCCTCACAAATGAAGGTCCAGAAGCATTTCCCTTTGTTTGTTTGTTAATTCAGTGTCTTCTCATTGGTATCGTAACCCATCCTCCCTAGGGGAGAAAGAAAACTCAAGACCTTGATCCTTAATGACAAAAAGACTTAGGTAACTTAGCCTGTGCCTTGGGGTAATTTTGCTGAGTTTATTTGGACACCCTATATCAAGGTCTCATGTTTTCTTGCTCCCTGAGGCCTCCCTTTGTTCTGTTTTATGGTTCTATTAAGGATCGGCCTGAGTAGCTTTGGCTTTTGCCAGCGCCTCCTTGGCCTGCACGACCTGGTCCTCCGGAGCGTTCAGCTCTTCGCTCTCGGCGAGTTGCTCCGCCAGCTTCTCAACAGCGACGGCAATCTTTTGTCGTAGGGGTTGGAAAACGGCCTTTGTCTGCTCAAGGGCAGTTTGCTAAGTTGTATTAGATCAACATTCTTGGCCGAATACCAAGGTGAAGGCTTTCGGACTGACCTGCTGTTTAAGCATGTACGAAGCATTCTCATCATCGTTTGCACCACTATCAATCTTCTCCTTCAGAGCTTTGATCTTGGCTTCCTCCTCCTCAACCTCTTTGTGGTATGAAGCCTCCTCTTTGAGGAGTCGGTTGACAGAGCCTGTAGCGATGACGAGTTGGGAAGGCGGCGGCATGGTGGATTGGTTCGGGGTCACTCAACGATCGACTAGATGTTTGGCGAGTTGCGGTGTATTTATGTACAAGTCTGGTTCCTAGATAGGCCTCGAGGGGCTAGAAAACAGCCAACCTTACTGTGGGGTGCCAAAATAAACTTAGCAAGAGTTATCCTAAAATTAGGCTATATCACCTAAATCTTTTTGTCATTTAGGATCGAGGTCCTGTGTTTTCTTTCCTCCCCTTGCTAGGCAATGAGAAACGGGGCTTTTGTTATTCGGGTGCCTGCTCGGTCTCTGATGCCTGGAAAACAAATGGAGAAAGCGAGTGAGATCATGTTGGACGTACGTGGGGTTTAAATGGCGGGGCTCTTCGCATTTACCTTCCACGCGCTTGGCCGCGTTTGAACAGCTGTGAAAGTATTTATCTATGGCATCATCATCACCGAGGTGCTGAGAACATATTTAAAAGGTCGAGATACAGGTGACCGTTCTTTACTACTTAACTCAACAACTAATGCAATGTCCGACAGAACTCGTTCATAAAAGAAACTGCTGCACGTCCACCTCTGCCGTTTTCCCAAAGAGCTACGACCAATCCATCCAAGTACCGCAAGCCGTGGTATCTCCCGAAACGCCTACAACACCATCTGGGCGACCCCTGAGTGGCTGCCCTAGAATGCTGGAATTCAATAGTTTATATAACCTGACACACGCCGCCCATCCAAGTTTTCGTTAAGATGCAATAAGCAAAAGCAACCGACCTGTCAGATTATGCTGAAACAGCAACTGCGGTTGAAGCAACTGCAGCATGCTCGGGCTCATTCGGGGCGTCATTGTCTTGAGACATCTCACCACCAGCTTCTCTCTCCGCCCAAGCTCCCCAGAGTCCACGCTTCGCCCTTATCCGGATGTCATCTCCTAGACCAGGACCCTGCTCGACTTTGATAGCATCCTTGGTCGCGAGAACCAGGCACTCAAAGAACATTTTGGTAGCATCGGCCTTGGTGGTCTGCTGTCTAGGACAAAGGTTCTGGAGAAGAACTGCTCTCTGAGTTCGCTTGCTGGGGCTGTCAGCAGCATCGTCACCAAAGCGCTCTCGCAATTGGTGCACTACGTGTTTCGTGACTTGAGAAACAGGACCGCTCTCAGCAGGATGGACCAGGGCAACAGTCGTGTCTTCAAAGCCAGGCATCATGGTTCCTGCCTCTTCGTCCATCTCGTCATCGGCGAGGATTTCATGGCGGCTTTCCTCCGGGGGGATACTCATTTCACCGAAAGCGCCCTCGAAGCCAAGTCCGGTGTCTGAACCGACATCGAGCATACGTGGAGACTTGGAAGCGCCGTGGTCACTTTCGACGTCAGCAATGCCACTGTCACGCTTGCGCTTGAGCTCGTTCATGCCACGAGCAGTGTCTAGTGTGAGCATATTGCGAAGCTCTGGAGCCCAGGCTGAGCTTCGGCCTTCCCCCATGATTGATGAAACGAATCCTCCGCTCTTTTGCATATCCATCAAAGCCAGAAGAAAGGGGTCGCGGGGAAGGAATCCACCCTCCCTTATGATATTGTCGCGGTTGGCTTGCTGTTGCTTGATGTGGTTACTGGAGAGAGCGATTTCTTCATCAGGGGTGAGTATCTTCTGTTTCTTGGCGCGCTGTGCCGGTCGTCGAATGACTTGGTCTTCCTCGTGGTCGGGTTCATAAAGGTCTGCCATCTGGTATCTCGAGTGATCCTGTTCTAGTTGTGCAACCCGGTCTTCGTCGATGTCGGAAAGCGGCGACTCCGAAATTCGAGGAGGAGGGTAAGCTGCGATATCAGGTACTTGGGAGACATCGTCAGGGTTGAAATCGAGTACCATCGGGTCAAGATCTTCGCCGTCATGGATCTGAACGCGCTCGTCGGGCAGATCTAAAGTCATCGCTCGATCGTCGTCCTTTTGGGGGAAATCAAGCTCTGAATCATCAACCTCGGGACCAGCTGCTGTGCGATCCTCCCTTCGGCCACCTTCGGGCTCAAGACCTGTCCCTTCAAGGCCAAGATCATCAAGACCGAAATCCAATTCCAAATCAATATTCCCCATCGGTGCAATCATGTCATCTTCCATTCCCATGCCATCGTTAAGAAACTGGCTGTTGTCGTAATCTTCCTGAAGGTTGATGTCCCGCTGACTGGCGCGTCCTTTGCGGCCAATTGGAGCAGCAGTCACATCCTCCACCTGAGACAAAAGCCAGTTCGCGTCTGGTGGAGGAGGTAGTTCGAAATTATCGTATGGGGTGATTCTGTCAGGAAGCGTCAGGGCTTCCCGGTTGGGGATTTGTAGGTTGACGGCCATGTCGTTGTTGCCCGAAGACCGAAATGCCTTGAGAGAATTAGTGTACTCGGCCATGCAGCGCGTCATGGGGAGGGCTTACCATTTTGATCTTCATCATAGCTTCATTACAATCATCCAAAAGATAACGCGTCTTTCTTTGGTAGATTCGAACCACACCCAAAAGCAGCTGACTACTTAGTCGCAAGGCCATCGGTGCCTGGCTAGGCATGATGATGGCATCCACACTGTCTTTGACATTGGATTGGAGGATATGATTCTTTGATAGCTTGCGCTCGAGGTTGGCAGAAAGCCAGACGCGGGCGAGCGGCCCGCTCTTGTTGAGCAAAGTCTCTGAGTAGAACATGATGCACTCGCGTAATTACGCGGTATAAAGGGGAGAAGAGGCAATTACCCACGCGAAGAGAAAAGAGAAAAAAAAGTTGGATTCCAATGTTGAGGGGTTCTTTTCAGGTACAGGTGGTACTGATGGTTAGTGGGAGAACAAGAATAAGTTGATGAACACCAAGACTGGGGGCGCGTCGGGTAAACAAGCTCTCGGTGGAAGGATAGCTCTACGCGCAAAAGCAACGTCGCGCGTACCCCAAAAGTACGAGGCAATGCGAAAAGGTCGCGGAATATAATGAGGATGTTATAGCGACCAAAATTCTGGCGATAGCGACGGTGTCGGGAGTGCAGTAAAGTGACAAGGCGTGTGCGCGGGCGGGATTATCGCGACGTAAGGCAGTCAAGGTATTTTATCAGAAGGGAAAATGGGACCTGGACCTTGAAGAGGGGGGATGCTGTGGTCGTTGTCCAGCGGTAAATGGCGTGGCTGGGGGCATCTCAGGCCTGTGGGTGGCAGGAGAAGGCACCTATTGCGGTGTACGGAGGTAAGTTTATCCGCAGAATGACGGGCTTTAATTGGTCAGTCATGATCATCGGCTAGCAAGGTCTCCCAATCAATACTGCCAAAATTTGTGGATGATGGCTCATCATGTAACTGGAGTGCTTGGATCCGTCGACTATTCTGAAACTGAGGTCATCACCTCATATGAGGCACCCCTGGGTCCTTTAGAATGATGATAGTTCCAGTAAGTCTATGCTGGCCTTCTTCCTTTTCGAAGGCACGTGCGTTGAACATGAAAAACCGATCGTCTCTACCAATATCCATAGGATCACTTACTTACATGGATGCCATAGTTCCTATAGTAGATGCCCGTACATACATTCTACTCGATCAATTATTAATTACCTACCCATGCAATATCTGGACCTAGTGACCCCAAACTTCCGGTATTGACTATTTCCTTAAACTCAGTTTTCCCAACCCAAATAGTCCATCATTGTGGCCTAAACCTGCAGCAAAAACATCATTAGCCTAGCGTTACGAAGCTGGGCGGGAATCATTTAACGTTACCCCAAATACAGAACCAATCTTGACTCGTTCCCTAAGCCAGACATCGTCTTTCAGGTGATGCTACTGGCTGATGAGCCTCTAAAGTCGATATGCAAGCCCCTGGCAGCCTTGCCGAGCCCTTGAAAGGTACTAGCTCCGACCCGCTCATCGAAGGACAAGACACATGGACATCTTAGGACAACCTTAAGTTCCGTTTAGGTCTCCCAACACATCCTCACGTCTGCCTACTTTTGTTCTTGCTGGCCTCTTCCTCTTCTCACTTTTCTGTGCGCCCATGACTGAGTCTCTTCTTTAACGGGCTGAAGCGAGCCGTTTCCTTGGTTGACTTCTGACTGTCCAGTCTTGGGATAACTAACTTTCTCGTGGCAACTTTGCTCGATGTCCTGACATTCCCTTTTCGTGCTATTCAACATCCACGGGCGTTTTTCTCCTCCTCATGACTCTGCGCATCTGATCTCGAACTAAGTCAAACACCCATGCATTCGACGGATTTTGCTCTACAATTGTAATACAACCGCTTGCGCGCCCTTCTGTCGATATGCAATTGCCATGGGGCGGCCGCGACGGTCCGGGAAATGACACCTTGCTACCGACATCCAACATCCCTTCCATCACCGGGCATGCTGCAGATGGCATTGATTCCAAGGATGGCGATCGTCCACAGCGCCCAGGTCGTCACGTCCGGACCACGTCTTCTGATGCACGGGTTAGTCTCAACATGCGCAGCCTCTGTGACATACTCGATTTCCATGGACCCAAACTAACAACTCCACCAGAACGTTGCCGATCATTTCTCCTATATGACCCCGAGCGAAGCCGCAGCGAATTTACGGACATCACTCACCCTAGGCCTTTCTCCAACCGAAGCTCTGACTAGACTCGGCGAATATGGTCCGAATGAAATTCCTCACGAGGACCCAGAGCCATTATGGCTACGATTCGTTAAACAATTCCAGGAGCCCCTTATTCTGCTGCTTCTAGTTTCGGCCGGTACATCGCTCCTCTTGGGAAACATGGATGACGCCATCAGCATCACAGTCGCTGTGACAATTGTCGTGTCCGTCGGGTTCATACAAGAGTATCGTTCTGAGAAGTCTATCGAGGCTCTTAACCACCTCGTGCCGAATCATGCCCATCTGGTCCGTGGTCAGAGCAAGACGTCGTCGTTGGGGAAGACTACCACCTGGCCACCGCGTACAGATGATGCCGATTCAGCCTTGACCCCGGGCTCTGTCACTCCAGTCAGCGATATTCTGGATGCGACCTCTTCCAAGGTCATGGCTTCTCAGCTGGTTCCTGGCGATCTCGTCCTGTTTACCACCGGTGATCGCATTCCTGCCGACATCCGTGTTACCAAAGCCGCAGACTTGACGATTGATGCATCAAACCTCACTGGAGAGACGGAGCCTGTGAGGGTGACGGCTGAGGCACGTAGCCGTGGATTCGGCTCATATGGTCTTGACAAGTCACAATTGCCTCGGCCCAACTCTCTTGCCCCCTCTGAGCATGGAGATTCTCACGGAGACGGTATTCATAATATCGCATACATGGGAACATTGGTGAAGTCGGGCCATGGTCAGGGTATTGTCTTTGCGACTGGAGGCCATACACACTTTGGAACCATTGCTGTTAGCGTTTCTGGCACCGAGAGTCCAAGATCACCGCTTCAGTTATCCATGGACGACCTTGGCTCGCAGCTCAGTAAAGCCTCATTTGTGGTAATTGGCCTCATCTCAGTTGTCGGTTGGCTCCAGGGAAAGAAACTTCTTGAGATCTTTACTATTTCGATATCACTTGCCGTTGCCGCCATCCCTGAAGGTCTGCCTATTATTGTCACTGTCACGTTGGCTCTGGGTGTTCATCGCATGGCTAGGCATAATGCGATCGTCCGAAGGATGCCCAAGGTCGAGACTTTGGGCTCCGTGAATGTAGTTTGTACTGATAAAACAGGTATGAAATTGGGCGTCACGCGCGGAAATGAGCTAACAGGAGCATTCAAGGTACCCTTACTACGAATCACATGACAACTACTCGAATGTGGTATTTTGGAGCTCAAGAACCCGTCCCGGTGGAGTCTGATCACGATGATGTTGAAACGAATCCAGACCTTAACCAGGCCACCCTTCGAGTGCTTCGTATAGGCAACATTGCGAATGATGCACGGCTTGCGCAAAAGTATACAGAGCATGGACAAGCCGCAACAGCTGTACTTTCGTCGACCGTAGGACGTGGTCAGGTTTCCACATATACCCGCTGGGTTGGACAACCTACTGATGTTGCCATGCTGGACCTCCTTGATCGCTTCAAGGAACACGATGTTAGAGAATCTATCGGCCCTCGAGTGAGCGAGACACCTTTCAGCTCTGAACGAAAGTGGATGGGTGTCACAATTGGATCCGAAACAAAGGGTGACAAGGAATTTGCTTACATGAAGGGCTCTATCGAAAAGGTTCTCGCAGCCTGTGACACTTATCTCGAAAAGGATGGAAGGGAAATTGTACTCGACTCTGCACGTCGTCAGGAGGCCCTTCAAGCCGCCGAAGCCATGGCTGTCCAAGGTCTACGGGTATTGGCATTTGCCAGCGGTTCCGTCACGCGCCCATTGAGAAGCAAATCCGCAGCACGCAGCACCTCTGGTTTTGACCGAAGCGAGAGTCCATCTTCTCACAGCCCAGAAGACATTTACAGAAATCTCACCTTTGCGGGTCTTGTTGGTATGCGTGATCCTCCGCGACCCGGGGTTGGACGTTCAATCAGGCGCTTGATGCGAGGTGGGGTCAAGATCATCATGATTACCGGCGATGCAGAGACGACAGCGCTTGCGATAGGAAAGCAACTGGGCATGAACATTGCGGTTCCTAGTGGACATGCAGGCGGCCAGAACACTGTAAGGCCTGTACTACGCGGCGACGAGGTTGACAGGATGTCGGAGGAAGATCTGGCACAGGCCATGCAACACACGACCATATTTGCACGAACGAACCCAGACCACAAGCTGAAGATCATTCGAGCCCTCCAGTCAAGAGGCGATATTGTCGCCATGACTGGTGATGGCGTCAACGACGCGCCAGCTTTGAAGAAGGCAGACATTGGTATTTCCATGGGCCGCCATGGAACTGATGTTGCGAAGGAGGCAGCAGACATGATCTTGACGGACGATGACTTTTCTACGATCCTCAGAGCCATCGAAGAGGGCAAGGGTATCTTCAACAACATCCAGAACTTCCTGACCTTCCAACTCAGCACAAGTGCTGCCAGTTTGGCACTTGTTTTCATTTGCACCTGTTTTGGCTTCAAATCCCCTTTGAACGCCATGCAGATTCTTTGGATTAGTAAGAGCAACAGCTGATGTGCAGTCTCACCCAAGCTAACCGTCATACTATAGACATTATCATGGATGGTCCTCCAGCTCAGTCTCTGGGTGTTGAAAGGGTAGACCCTGATGTCATGACCAAGCCCCCACGACGACGAGGAGATCCAGTGCTTACCAAGTCGCTCATCACACGCGTTCTCACATCGGCGGCCATTATTACCATTGGAACAATGCTCATCTACCGTCGTGAGATGATGGCTGATGCACAGGTAACCCGACGTGACACGACGATGACATTCACCTGCTTCGTCTTCTTTGACATGTTCAATGCCCTGAGCTGCCGGTCGGAGTCTAAGTCGGTGCTTCAGGGCGAAGTTGGACTCTTCTCTAACAACTTGTTCAACTGGGCTGTCTCTCTCAGCATTGCTGGACAGTTGCTTGTCATCTATTTTCCCTGGCTCCAAGAGACTTTCCAGACGGAAGCTCTTGGGTTTTTTGACCTCATACGACTCGTTCTGTTGTGTAGCACGGTATTTTGGGCGGACGAGCTGCGAAAGTATCTCAAGTATAAGAAAAGGCGTTTTGGAAACGGTTATAGCCAGGCGGTGTAATAGGAGGTACCATTTCTTGTTCAGAGGGTTGAGGGGCTCATTTAAAAGGGACATATTGTAGTATAAAGATATAAACATTGTACAAAGTATTGCATAGCGAATGTGTCGAGGCTGTATAATATACAGGCTCGGAAACAAACCTGTATTGATCTAAATTCGATCAAACTATCCTGTCAATACTTCTTTGCCGTATCCTTTTTTCCAGCAGAAGGTTGTTGGCCATGAACAAGCCATTCTATCGCGGGGTACAGGGTAGGCATACAGGTCCAAAATTGCGGGGGGAGCTCTCCCTGTGAGAGAGGCTGCGTGGCACCAACAAGGCAACTCCATGTGCGACAAGTCCCTTTGCGCTGGAAGCCACACGTCTCTTCTTCATTCGCCGTGAACGTAGAGAAAAAGAAGCAGAAGGCAGAAATGCGCCGCCGGAACAGAATATCTTAATGACAATGTCAAGCCTTCAAAACGGCATCTCCAACAGCGAGCACCCTGTCGTCGAAACACCGGTCGCTGTCTCTACTTCGTCCCTTGACAATGCCAACACCGAGTCCGAGATTCGTGAAGCGCTCGCCTCCCTGCATGCCCACGAGGCTTCTATAACGTCCCGCCTCGATGCTCTCGTGGCTTCACAGGCTGATCTATCCCGCGACCTTGGGCGGCTGGATCTGCTGCGGGCTGGACTTGGAGCGCAGGTCATCGCCGCACGTTCAATTGGGAATGACATGCTAGCAACGGCAGCAGATACGGCTGGTCGACTGAGTGACAGAGTCAAAGAGCTGGATCTCGAAAAGAGCAGAGTTGAAGAAACGCTGGGTGTGGTGGAGCAGGTCGCGGAGCTCAAGGCATGTGTCAATGGTGTGGTGGGTTCCATGGGAGCACCCCAAGACTGGGAGGCTGCTGCTGGATACATATCGAGAGCAAGCAAGGTACCAGAAGAGATCACAAAGGGTTCGTTCGCTGTTGGCATAGTACCCAGCGTCGAAGTCCCCGACCCGCCATGGGTGACATTGGAAGAAGCCAAGGAGAGTTTATGCGGCCTCTTCTTGAGAGAGTTTGAAAAGGCGGCAGAGGAGAGTGATGGCACGAAAGTCACTAGATTTTTCAAGCTCTTTCCCCTGATAGGAAGAGCTGAGGTCGGATTGGATGTCTACGGAAGATATGTGTGCCAGGGAGTCGCTGGAACCGCTCGAGCGACACTCAAAGACGCCATGAACGGACAGCGTAGGGAAGGCTTCTTTTATGCTAACGCCTTGACGAAGTTGTTCGAGCACATCGCCCAGATTGTCGAAGGCCACGGCGGGCTTGTGGAGCGTCATTATGGCTCTGGAAAAATGGTTCGTGTTATTGAACGTTTGCAGATGGAAGCGGATGTCCAGGGTGGTATCATTGTCGACACCTGGAGCGACGAAAGAGGAATTGATAGGAAACTCACCGACGTCAGAAGCTACCCATTCTCGTTTCTAGTCCAGAGCTTTTTACCACAGCCCCCTCGCGGTGGCACACCGAGGGTGAACTCGCCAGCCATAGGGGTAGGCAACAATCCCCGAGAAAGTGAGGATGAGGGTGTCAATATGAGAGAAGTTGACGGCCTCCTGAGTGAGATTGCGGTGATGCTTGGACGCTGGTCATTGTACACTCGATTCCTCGCCGGCAAGTGCAAGGTATGCTTGGCTATTCAATCTCCGAGATAAACTGAAACTTATACGTCACAGAACCCCGACACACCAGATGAGGCACCTCTTGTCATACCAGACGTACTGGTCAAGTCAAATCTGTACCGAAAAGTATCTACCAAGCTCACATCCCCTTACAACGTCATGACCACTTTCTTCTTCCGCCGTTCTGTCGAAAAGGCGTTCCAGCTGGATGAATATCCTAGCGGTCTGTCATTAAGCTTGAGCAGGCAGATCGAGGGCAACGCCCCGTACATTATATTAGCAGTGGACGATGTCATGTACATTGTGAATGCGGTCATTCAGAAATCTATTTCAACGTCACAAAGAGATGTCATTGCGTCTGTCGTCCCGACAGTTGGCCGAGTGCTTGGCTCCGACTTTGTTGGTATGATCCAGCGCAAGATGAGAGATGAATCGTATCCTAGACCGGTCGTCCAGGGAGGATTCCCACCTGAGGACAAGATCATCCAGTTCATCGTTCTTATCAACAGTCTGGACATGGCCAACGAGTATTTGACCCGAATTATCACGGGACGAATAGGGGAATCGAGTCATCTGCCCAACGGCAATGCCCAAAACGGGCCCCTCAAGGATTCGTTCCCATTTGAGCGAGATGTTGTATTTGTTGCAAACGCGCTACACACTCTTCAGACTTCGTTCATTGGAAAAACGACCGAGCTGCTCAACGAGGGAATCCAGGTACTCTTCAACCAGGTTGTCAAGCTCCGTTTAAGGCCGGTCCTGACAGATACATTCCGTGATGCGGACTACACATTGTCGGAGGATGACATTGCAGATATAGCGCAGCAGAACGACGAAGACGAGGATGAACTTCTGGAACAAGTACCCCGACTGTTTGAGCATGGTTGGGATCAACTCATGAAGCCAATTGCACGTTTGATGACACCTGGGACATACACCACTCTCCTTGACACCACGGCACGCTACCTCTCCAAGATATGGGAGAAGAAGATCATGGGTTATGTGGGCCGCACAAATGCTCTTGGTGCAATCAGACTGGAGCGTGATTTTATCGCGTTAGTAGATGTCGTATCTCGTGGGGACTACGCCGTGAGAGAGATCTTCGCCAAGGTCCTGCAGATACTTATGGTAGCCAACATGGAAGATGACGAGTGGGATGAGGTTATGGCCCAAGATGGAGAAGACGATGCCATCGAGTGGGTTTTGACTGAGGAGGAGAGGAGGCGGGCGAGAAGTTTGGTTAGAGGATGATTTGGCAGTTAAAGATATTCAAGGACATAAAGAGACGGCGTTGATTATTAGAAAAAAGAGTCTAAAGAGATGTACGAGTAGAGTCGAGGCAAGAATATTTCGTAGTTTATGGTTGGTGAGACATTGATAGCCATTGATGCTAACTTCTCTCTACCTTAATCATTTAGAATCTGACGGACTGTAATTGAAGCTACCTTAACTTGGATCAATCAAGAGCACCAGGATTAGCCAAACAGAACAAAATGCGACTATTGGTGTCAAACCTTGCAGCAAACTGCGTTCTTTAGACAATCATTAGGGGGGTTCATACATGCCTTCCTGGTCTCCTGATATTCTTCGCGTTAGGACTACCTACGTATCCCTAAGGTTAGTAGGTACGGGTCTGAACTTTCAGTGGCATTTCCCCCAACGTGCCACTGAATAAAGGTTAGTGCCACCAGACCTCAGGCACTCGCCGAACTTATTAGTACCCAAGTCCAGCTGGGCAGTTTTCGATTGGGCATTGCCTTGAGCTCTGAGTCACTCTCAACCATCAAAAGTCTGGCCAGAGGCTCCATTTTAGCTCGTCATGATGAGTGAGCATGAGGCCCAGCGTGATGAAATTTTCTGTCGCCCAACTATCACAAACCCCGAGCCACAGACCTCAATATCATGATTTCCCAAGATATTTGCTAACACATATACTCTCGGGAAACACCATTTTCTACTTTCCAAAGCGAAATTTACAAAAAACCACCTACCCCTCTCCGATATTGAGAAAACCACTAACATCACAAACATTTGGCTCTCAGGCTGCGCCCACCATGGAGACAAGGATAGTCAAAGTCCCGAGCAAGGGCTCCCTAGGCCAGTTTCGACCTGGCGATGGTCTCGCAAGGTTGAATCACTGGGAAGTTCAATGTGAAAATAACCTCGCTCTTGAGGCCCTGCAAGATGCTGCTCACCTGCTACGGACCAAGGACACGCCTGTCGCATTCCCGACAGAGACTGTATATGGTCTTGGTGCAGATGCTACTCGGACTCCCTCAGTTAAAGGAATCTATTCGGCAAAGGGACGACCTTCAGACAACCCTCTCATTTCACATGTTTGCGACCTGGAAATGCTGCGACAGTATATCGGTCAGACTGAAGAAACTGATCCTATACCCCAACGATACAGGGCTTTGATAGAGCGTTTCTGGCCGGGACCTCTGACCATTCTTCTCCCTAACCCGGCACCGTCGAAACTAGCGCCTGAGGTGACTGCAGGTCTCAAGACCTTTGGCGTGCGAATGCCATCTTCAACCCTCGCCTTGTCTCTTATCAAGTTAGCTGGTGTACCCCTGGCGGCACCGTCAGCAAACGCTTCCACCAAACCTTCACCCACAGCGGCACAGCATGTGATGGACGACCTCAACGGAAAGATCGAGCTCATTTTGGACGGTGGACACTGCCAAGTGGGCGTGGAGAGTACTGTTGTGGATGGACTGTGTGACCCCCCCGTCGTCCTTCGTCCGGGAGGTATCGGAATAGATGAGCTACGAAGCTGCCCCGGTTGGGAGAATGTATCAATAGCTTATAAAGACAAGAGCGAAGAGGGAAAAGCTGCACCTCGTGCTCCAGGGATGAAGTACAAGCACTACAGTCCAAAGGCAACAGTAGTGCTTTATGAGTCGAGTTTCGCAGAAGGGGTCAATGGAATAGCTTCTTTCGACTTGAAGGCGGCCAATGAGACAGTCAATGGCCATGCTAGCAACGATGAGCGGAAGGGCAGGGTTGTCGGGGTTATTCGCACCCAGCGATGGAAGTCAGGGGCTGGTCTGCGGTGCGCCAGCTTTCAGCATCTCACCGACGTACAAGGAGCCGATGAGGATGACTCGCCATTCCAAGTATACGAGGGCGATCTGTTGGATGAAAAGGGGCAGCCAATAGGAAAGATCTTGGATATCGATCTGGGCAGAGGCACTGAAGGAATTGCGAGAGGTCTTTTTGCAGCGCTCCGGGAGTTTGATCGACGAGGCGCCGACACCATTTTTGTTGATGGTATAGACGATAGAAGCGATATCGCAGCGGCGGTCATGAATCGGCTCCGCAAAGCGGCTTCAGAGACTAGAGCATGAACGATCATATCAATTAGAACACCAGCACACCTGTATAAAAGCCCCTCCGTTTCTTAACCCTGTGTCAGCCAAACCAGACCAGACCAGACTACTGGCGGGTCGTCTTCCTCTTTTGATTTTGGGTTTGCATGCGGCGCTGAATAACGACAAAACTCCCAACTCTCCACACATCAACCTGCTCCCATCTCTACAGACCCTGGCGGAGCCAGTCCGCCAGTTTCGACTTTCCTAGCTGCGCCAAGTTGTTGACGCCCTGTTCGCTAAGATCGATGCGGCCAACGGGCATGTCTTGAGTTGGTGCTCGACTAACGCGCTGGGTGATGATAGTGGGATCAGTCTCAAGAATGATGCCGTCGTCGACAATCTCATCAATAGCTAGCGAAACAAGGTCGTAGTTCTCGACGATTGTCCTCTTGTCAACGGATTGCCTATAGTACTGTGTTAGCGGTCCTTCAATGGTTTGCGCGGGCTCGAAAGGAAAGGAACTGACTTGAAGAGGATGTGGAGAGAGTCCCGCAGAGCGAGAATGGTGTTGTAGAGCAGAATCTCGTTCTCGTCGACACTGCCAACAACATACATCATGACATCTGACTCCATCTTGTACAGCACAATTCGGTTATCGTAAAGAATGATATCGCCGTTCTGCTTGGCAGTCTTGTCGATAAGACCCTTCTCAAAAGCCTTTTGCGACTTCACGTCGGAGTAGGGGTTGGCTGAGGAGCTTGTGGGAGCTGTTGGTAAACAGTTGTCAGCTGTCGTTGCGCTCACTGGAAGCATAGCGAGGGAAGCTGGGAAGCTCAGGGGAGGATGAATGTACCATTAGGTGCTGAATGAGGTGGCTGGAAGTACTTTGCGAATATCCGAGAGCCATCTTCAGTGCTGAGGATCAGGATGGCCTGAACCGAGAAGAGCGACATCCCAGGTGCCATGATTGCAATATGTTGTAGTGTTTGTTGGCTTGTAAGTGCTCTCCTTCAATGGTGGCCCCTCCAGATGACAACAATGCCACAGTTAGGGATACCCGGGACCAACGTTTGACCGCTCCGCATGGCTGACCCTCTTATCTTATCAAAAGCTCCCTGTATGAGCCCCTCGCGTCAAGCACTTTACGCGTCTGCAAAAGGAGACGCGAACCGTCGCCCAGCCAATCCCTGCGCGGCCCCTCATCTTCACCACCAATTTCCCAACATCAACAGTTGCAAAAGACAAGGGTCAAGCCAAGTCGCCTTCTCCAACTTCTGTGGCATAAACATACAGATAACCCAAAACGAAAATGTCGTCACCTACGAAAAGGCCGACACGCAGTTCAGCGACTCCTCGTCGTGCTGCTGGCAACTCAGAGACGCCCCGTCGAGGAAACTCTCAGCTCGATGCCCCTTCGAGCCCCTTCCACTACGAGTCTTCGTCACCAGGACCAAGCAATCAGAATAATCTCCCCGGAGATGTGTCTTCGCCATTTAGGCATATGACGAACAGTCAGAGCGATGTCCATACTCAAAGCGACCTGGATCCTGAAAGAACACCTCGAGCAACCCCAACCACGCCGGCCCATCACGGAGGTAAGAGAACTGGCTCAATCAACCTCATCTTCACTTAATTGACCACCATAGGATCTTCACCTATCCGCTATGATCCTAGCTCCAGCCCCGGCAGATCACTTCGGCAACAATCTGAGCTTCGAAGTGAGAGCAGCGGCTTGTTCTTGGGTTCTCAACTCGGCACGCCAGCACCCCACCGAAGAGGCGATATCAACTCCGATGCGACTCGAACGCCCCGTGCTTCTCGGCGAGTGATTCTCGATGATGCTGGCCGTGTACTTCGGGAGGGCCCCGCTGATGGATCCGATGCCGCTTCTTTCGCGAACAGGGACCCCAACACCTCAGAGGCTGATGTTCTTGGTGGACAAGGACAAAGTCTTATTTGGGGCACGACTGTCTCCATCGACGATACCTTCGCATCGTTCAAGGAATTCCTTCGCAACTTCACACAGAAGTATCGGATGTACCGCGATGGTGCGTCAGATGAAGACGTTCAGAACGCTCCTGATGCAGAGTCAAAGCCGTATTGGGAGGCTCTGGAGAACATGTTGCTCTTGGGAACGACACGACTCTATCTTGATATCTCCGACCTGAATCTATATCCACCGACCCGAAAGCTATGGCATCAAATTCAAGCCTACCCCCAGGAAATCGTGCCAGTCATGGATCAGTCCGTTCATGACATGATGGTCGAGATTGCACGGGCCGAGACTTTGAGAAACCGTCAATCGCAGAGCAGCGCTGGCCATCAAGCCTCCCAACAGAGCACCCAGAGCTCAGAACCTGTCTTTCCCAGCTCAGATAGACCCGAAGAGGCGCCCACACCCCGGACACAGCCAGATCAACAACAGCAGGCTTCGCTGGAGGATCAAGTAGCTTCGTCCATTTACGTCGTTCGACCATTTGGTCTGGACAAGACCACCAACCTGAGAGATCTGAATCCCTCTGGTAAGTTATATTCTCCTGTAATTATCGCTTCCTTCGACTAACATGGACCAGATATGGACCGCTTGATCAGCATCAAGGGTCTCGTTATCCGAACAACCCCCGTTATTCCTGATATGAAAGATGCATTCTTCCGTTGCAATGTTTGCAACCACTCTGTCAATGTTGGCCTGGATCGTGGTAAAATTCGCGAGCCCACCGAGTGTCCTCGTGAGATTTGCAAGTCCAAGAACTCCATGTTGATCGTGCACAACAGATGTTCCTTCGAGGACAAGCAGGTCATTAAGCTTCAGGAGACACCTGATGCTGTGCCTGCTGGTCAGACGCCTCATTCAGTGTCGGTCTGCGTTTACAACGAGCTGGTCGATTTTTGCAAGGCTGGTGACCGTGTCGAGTTGACAGGTATCTTCCGTGTCAGCTCTGTTCGTGTCAACCCCCGCCAGCGTGCCCTCAAGAGTGTGCACAAGACATATGTTGACGTTCTCCACATTCAAAAGGTCGATAAGAAGCGCATGGGCGCTGACCCTTCTACGCTCGGTGTCGCTGGTGAGGAGGAAGCTGAAGCTGGAGAGAATGGCATCGAAGAGACACGAAAGATCACGATTGAGGACGAGGAGAAGATCCGGGAGACAGCCGCCCGTGACGATATCTACGAGCTTCTTGCTCGTTCCCTAGCTCCCTCGATCTACGAAATGGACGACGTCAAGAAGGGCATCCTGCTGCAACTCTTTGGGGGCACCAACAAGACGTTTCAAAAGGGTGGCAGTCCCAAATATCGAGGTGACATCAATGTCCTCCTCTGTGGTGACCCGTCGACAGCTAAGTCGCAGATGCTTTCGTACGTTCACAAGATTGCGCCCCGTGGTGTTTACACGAGTGGCAAGGGATCCTCAGCCGTCGGTTTAACTGCGTACGTCACTCGCGATCCAGAGACGAGACAGCTTGTCCTTGAGTCTGGAGCCCTGGTCCTATCAGACGGAGGTGTCTGCTGTATCGACGAGTTTGATAAGATGTCAGATGCTACGCGCTCCGTACTCCATGAAGTGATGGAGCAGCAGACCGTCTCAGTCGCCAAAGCTGGTATTATCACCACTCTCAATGCGCGAACCAGTATCCTCGCATCCGCAAACCCTATCGGCAGTCGCTACAACCCCGATCTTCCTGTTCCTCAGAATATTGACCTCCCTCCTACCCTCCTCTCGCGATTTGATCTCGTGTACCTCATCCTGGACAATGCCGATGAGAAGAACGATCGACGCTTAGCCAAGCATCTTTTGTCGCTTTACCTTGAGGACAAGCCCCAATCCGCTCCCAACAACAATGATATTCTGCCAGTCGAGTTCCTCACTCTCTATATCTCCTATGCGAGGTCCAAGATTCAACCTACCATCTCACAAGAAGCGGCTCAGGAGCTGGTCGACTGCTATGTTGCCATGCGCTCCCTTGGACAAGATGTCCGCGCGGCTGATAAGCGTATCACTGCCACTACCCGTCAGCTTGAGAGTATGATCCGTCTCTCGGAAGCTCATGCCAAGATGCGCCTTTCTGAGACTGTCACACGTGACGATGTTGTCGAGGCCAATCGTCTCATTCAGAGCGCCCTCAAGACCGCGGCCACAGATGCTCAGGGACGTATTGACATGAGTCTCCTCACTGAGGGAACAAGTGCTGCTGATCGCAAGCGTCGCGATGAGCTACGCACCGCTCTCCTACGCCTCTTGGACGACATGACAGCTGGGGGCAACACCGTGCGTTGGGGTGATGTTGCTCGCCGACTCAGTGAGGGCGCCAGCATTCCTGTCGAACAGTCCGAATTCAACGACGTGATGAGGGCTCTTGAGGCGGAGAGCGCCATCATGATCACAGGCGAAGGAGCGAGAAGGACCATCCGCAGGGTGACCTCTGTTGCATAAAAATGATGAGTACGGGCTCACTCGACGTTGAATGATATACCATGTAGATGAGTTGATGAGGTTTACTGGGATCAAAGGTTGTACGATGATGAATCTCCTGGCTGGGTCAGGCGTTGGGCATATTTGTGGGTGATAGATAGAGGTGGGCATGCTTGATTTGATTAATGCTATGATCATTCTACCAGCCTTGGAACGTGTGCCGGGGTGTTAATGTCCTGTCCGAGCCCTTTGTTGACTTCAGTAGCAACTTCCAGAGCATCTGTCAGAGTGTCGATCAAGTCTTGTTCATTTTCTAGACCAGCCGAGATACGCACACTTGCTTCCCTGACTCCTAGTTGATGCATATACGCCTTCTCGTCTGGTTTCTTACCAAAGACGACCATGTTGTACGCAAACATGATTGTGACATGTCCGCCAAGGTGAGGGCTCGGATAGAAGCCTGTCCTGTCGTAGAAGGCTGTCGCAGCTTCAACAGTTGAGAATTCAACAGTCAGGAGGCAGCCGTATCCAGGCTCTGGCAGTTCTGGTGTTGCTCGCCTTAGAATTGCATCGTAGTTTGACTTGCTGCTGAGTTGCTTGGGATATTGCACATTGGCCACAGGAGAGTCTGGAGCCGACCTGGCACTGTTGAGAAAGTTGGCCATGGCGAGAGCGTTCCGGTTCAGAATCTTGGTACGCTCAAGGAGGTCCCTTGAATTGGAGAGCAAGACTTGAGCATCGGAAGCAAAGAGCTCGTTATGATGAGACTCTTTGAAAAGGGTCCGAAGATTATGATAATGGGGAGAAGTGGGATTTAGGACGATGGAACCGCCCATGACATTGGCATAGCCACTGAAGGACTTGGTGAGAGACGAAAGGAGGATGTCTGAGCTGGATAAGACGTCAACGTTGGCGAAACCACTGATTGTGTCGTCGATGATGAGAAAGAATCCATACTCTTCAGACTATTGGAATGTCAGCATTAAGTTAGGACAGGGCAATATGAGATCTGCTTACTAGTTCCTTCAAACGATTCGTATCGACAGTTTCCAAGGTTGGATTCCCAGGAACCTCCACAAATGCATGGCTAACAGGTCTTCCCTCTTGCTTCTCATGCTTCAGCCAATCTTCAAAGGCCAAAAGACCTTGTTCATCAACCTTTCCAAAGTGCTTCAATCCTTGCGGGCATTCTTCTATAAGATGGTGGTATGTATTGTGGAAGATGATGCCCAGCACGACAATAGTGCCGGGTCGGTGCTTTGTCAACAGAGAGCTGGAGTGGAAGATAGCAGCCATGCCCGTCGGGTACAGAAACACATCGCTTGGTGTACACTTGACCTTGTCTGCATCAACCGGCGCACGATGGAGAAGGTCGACGATCCTGGTCCGGAGGTCACCATGGGCTTCGCTCTCGGGGGTCCAAGTCGGAGATGGGATAGGGCCCTTTTCAGCCTCATAGGGGACTTCCTTGATAGTGTCTAGGCCTTTGAGAAGATCCTCAGCTCCACGAATAGAGATTCCGAGTCCTGGATTCTGCCAAGTGAGCATCACAGCAGGTATCGCCGTTGGACTAACGAGAACAACATATACTCTATGGCCTGCTATATCGACGCATTTGAGAGTGGCGTCTTGGGCTGTCAAGCGTTTGTCTCCGCGGTTTTCGTGGGTGATATGATGAAGAGTATATGGCCATACCGCAGGGTTAAGATAAACCAATGCAGCCTTGTCTGTATGGCCAAGACGTTTTGCAATCTCATGCCCAAGCTAAGGCCAGCGAGCGTCATCAGTACATTATTTATTCTCAAATCTATGTGGACTTACTTGAGCAGAATAGTGCGTGGGCATGAAGCGGGGATATATGTGAACCAGCTTCTTCAGAGGAGCAGGATCGCCTTCTCGAATGGCCCTCGCCACGTCCCATCCTGGAAGATTAGTGATAACACTGTAGGGAGTTTGAGGAGGAGGAGCATGTCCAAATTCGGACTGAGTCTTCAGTACGGGCATGATATACAAGTGAAATGGTCAGGTCCAGAACAGTGAGTAGCCGAGAATCACCATCGTGTCACAATTGGCCATCAGGTCTTTATATACCTGCTGTATCGCAGACTAGTGCACCAATCCTTCGAATCTTGATGGATTTAGTTGCACTAGTTAGACCAAAGCGACCTTAACAGTAAAGCCCCCAGGTTGGGCTAGTGCCACTTTACTCTCAGGGCGTTGGTTTGACATCGAGACCATGGCCTAGAATCAGATGTAGCTTGGGGGTTGACAGCCTTGGCGGTGATACTATGCGTATCGCCAATCATGGATACTATCATATGATGGACTATAAGCCACGAGCTACAGTGGCGGCTACTAGTGGGAATGAGGTTACGTGACTCCTCCGTACTGCCGCGGAGGTAGCTGAGGCTCATGGACTCGAATTCTTTGGGTCACGATGCTGTCGATGAAATGGAAGTCGAAGATATTGCAAAGAGGATTGGTAAAAGCGGCTGACCTATTAGGATTATCAAGACCATCCTCAACATTCTGACAGAGATCGACAACACCAAGACTGATGATGGAGTCATTCGTCGGTCAGGAAATGTAATGGCCAATACTGCTCTCTCTCTCTGTTTGCTTTTCAACTTTGCTGAGCTCACTAAATGCATTACTCAATCAACTTTCTAAACTAGCCAATTGACCTATCGCGTCCGCCTCTTCAGCAGAGGAACTCATATTACACAAAAGGGAACCAAACCAAGCCTCGCATAACCCCCCCTCAAGACTAAGACTGTATCTCAAACACCGCTACAAAAATGCACGCAACAATGCCCACCAAGACTAAGACTCCTTGTTCCTACCAGATGCCTCTCTCTTTACCCTCAAACCCAAAGTTCGCAGCTACGCCTACGAACAGAGCTCCGCAGAGAATACTTGGACCCCAACGGTCGTAGAACCCAATGGCCTTGCGTTCTCGAATGCCTTTACTTCGGTGGAGATAGGTGAACACAGAGTAGGCGAGGCTTGCAATAGCCAATACTGTAAAGAGGCCGGAAATCCAGAAGTGGGTAGGTGTGGGATGGCTACCGAAGTTGAGTAGCGTGACAGCAATTGTGCCGATGTAGATAGAAAACTCGAGCTATCAAACGAAGCGTATTAGTAAATGAACACCTACTTGGCATCAAAGCACTTACCCATCCCAGGAATGTTCTTTCAGCCGCAAAATAGACCTTGGGCTCCACGCGTACAGGCACGTAGATCTTCTTGCCAGGGGGCGCCTTAAACTTCTTAGTCTGGATAGGATCGTGCCCAAACAAGGCTTGCAGTCGGTCACTGCGTTCAACCTGCGTGCTTCTAGGCGCAGGAATAGCAAGCTTGAGCGCAGAAATCGCGTGTTTTCCAAAATGTTGTCTGATATGTCGAGTCTTGGCAGAAAGCAATGTCGAGTAGTAGCGCCATCCTCCACTTCTCTTGGCTTGCGCCAGCTCGTATCTTTCATCATACTCATCATCCGAGTTGTAAATCGCATAGTCTTCATCTGCCGCGGGAAGGTCTGTCATCTGGCCCTCCATGTCAATAGGGGGGATCTCACGGAGACCACGAGCGCCCTGTGCGCTCGACTCGCCGTTAGTGCCGTTGCGGCCAGAAGCCTGCAACTCCTCGTCATCCGAGTCAAGCTCTTCGTCGTCATCAGATGTATTGGTGGTACCTGACAATCCGGGTCGTCGAATACCAAAGTCATGAGTAACGGGTTTGCGGATGTCTACGTCCATCTGAGGCATCCAGAAAGGCAGGAGGTTGATTCTATCAGGAAACAACGTCGCCGTACCGTGGATGAACTTCGAGAACTTGGGCACGGCCTCCACCAGGTGAGACGAGATAAGCTGGCGAACCCACTCAGGTGGTTTCTGGCCGGACTGCGTCTGGAGCTTGACCTCCAGAACGGCATAAGGGAACCGCTCAATGTCTTCGGCAGGCAATTGCGAAAAGGGATAGTCAACGCCGATATCCATACGACGCCAGTTCTCTCCAGAGCGGACACGGCCATCCAGGTTGTCTTCTCGCACCATTGTGAGCTCCGTATCCAGCGAAATTCGGACACGGGCATCGGCGGGCAGCTGGAACGCAGTGCGGTTATAGAAAGATCGGCAAACGGGCTTGTAGCCCTTTTTAATAACCGAATATTGGACCTCAGAGGCCAATCGCTCGTCCTCAGCAATGGCCTTCTCAGACTTCTTTCCCTCTTTGCGTGCCTTCTCAAAGATGGCGGCTGGGAGGAGTTCTCCCTTCATGTACGCGTTGACGTTTTTCTCCTTCATGGCAAATCGAGCCTTGACAGACTTCTCACCCGTCCAATCTTCACGATGGGTCTTGCGCTCGACGAAGATCGTCTCTGTCTTCATGCCTCCATACCATCGAAGTCGAATCGCCTCGGCACCTTCAGTTTTCTTCAGGCGACCTTCGTACAAGTCCCAGGTGTCGGGATTGTCGTAGTAAATCGATGTGATTGCTGAGTCTTCCGGGTCGAAGTCCTTGTTGGCATTGAAGACGAGGACGGGCAAGTGCTTCAGGATAATAAGCTTCAGTTCCGTGACGTTGTCAGGGTGCACCCAGTATTTAGTCGTTTGTCGGATGAAGTTGGCCTGGCCTCCACCCGCAGCACTGTCGCCCTTGACGGGATTTCCGCGAGTTCGGACGAGGTCGTAGAGCTTCGACAGCTTGATGACAGCGGCGTCGTAGTTTTCCTTGTAAAAGGGCTTGGCTTTGAGTCGGCTATCGAAAACGGGCTTCAGGTGCCATCCGGTCGTTTTCTGGAACTTTCGTTAGGCAACGGCTACGTTGTTTCCAATGGGTTGAGTCTTACATCGTGCTTCTTAATGATCTTGTAAAACCCGGTGTAGTTGAGCTGCACGAATTTGGCAAGGTCGTGGACATCGGCTATGATGTCGCTGAGGTCCTCTTCGAGAAGCATGAACTCTTCCTCGCTTGGGCCATTCTCGCCAAGTCCACGCTCATTCAGGCGATTAACCACATCCTTGACTTCGCGTTCGCTCACAGCAATTCGACGGGCAATCTCCATAGCCTTGACCTTCTGCTTGGTGTGAACCTTTTCGAGCTCTAACTCGAGCCTTTCGACGAAGCGCGTCTCGTCATCCTCAGTCCATTCTGGGCCCTTGCCTGCCTTCAAAGGGCCTGTAGGTCCCTTGAGCTCATTTTTCAAACCTTCGTAATCGATGTAGTACCACTGATACTCCTGGATAACGCTGGAGCGCAACTGCTCTCCGAACTTCATGACGACGACGCCGGGTCGGACAGAGAGATTTTTGCCGTCGCGGGTGCTGAGCCAGGTTCTGGAACGTGTCTTGAGGTCTTGAACGATCAGCATGTGCGCATTGAAGAGGCTGGATACAACATCCAAGGAATTGGGCTCGAATAGCCAAGGCTGATTGATGATGATGGATGGAAGAGATATGGAGCGTTTGACCACAGTGCAGTCGAGGAAGTCAATCGACGAATGCTGCTGATACAGATCTTTTGCGGGCTTACCTGGTGACAATAATAAGAGAAGAGGAGGGCGAGAGAGACAATGTTTTTGGTGTCGCCGAAAGTTACGAGATGACCGAGGCGTAACAAAACAGGTCAGGGCTTCCGAGTCGGCAGGTCAGAGTACGGACGAACTATTTTAACGAATATGCAAGGTAACCGTGTCACTGCAAGTCGATTCCAGGTACGAGAAAAGTTCCAGGTTTCCTTGCCTTGACCTGATGTGAACTCTTTCGTCGCTTCGCTTTGTCTTGTTATCGTTGACTAGTCGAGCAACTGACTTTAGGCCGGGCGTTATGTGGAGCAGCAGGCCGACATGGGTATAGTTGGCGTTGTCACGGTCGAGAGCTCTGTTCGAGACAAGCTCTGAACCTGAGACGATTGGCGAATCATGTTGGTGGCTACAGGAACGTGCACGTCACTGAAGGAAACTTAATGGCGAGGCTAGAGAGAGGACAGGGGAGTCCGACGAGAAAAACTGGTGCTGCTGAAGCGAGGGTCCGTCGTATTTTCTTAGCGGCCGTTCTTCCATACCTAAGGTACCTAGGTAGGTACTGAGCTAAGGTATTTGGGCTGTCTCGCCCAAGGTGCTGTGCAATGTAGGCATGCGCCAGCGTCATTTTACAGCACATCCACAGGATACGCATGGACTACAGTACCTAACAAGCGAGTTGACGCTGTCCTATTCGCCAATTGAGCCCTTCGGCACCCAAGCCCAAGCTTGTCAGAAAACATCTTTCATGCACGTGTAAATGCATCTTGCCGGCATTGCACTACAATCCCCAACTGCCCAATTGCGAGAGTGGATCGATTCAGCCGTGGATACCACCTGTACTAGTAGCACAAGGTGGAGAAATATGTTGAGGCTCGGTGTCGAATTCGATACCCTGGAGGAATAAAAAATCATATAAAAACGTAAGGGGCTTGTAATTATCATACATACCTTACCTGGGTAGTTGCCTATGATGTACTTCCAAGTTGCGAGGGAATGTCTATACCTCTGCGCATTGATGACTTTGATACATCATTCTTTAGTAACTAATATAGAACTACAAAACACTTCGTAGCAAGTGAAAGACCCTGGCTATAGTTAATGCGAGATTTTATATTCTGTTTTCTTTGCACCATCCAGAGACGGCCCCCATTTTTTTCGGGTCAAGATGCTTCACCACTGAACTCCAGACCTGTATAGATCCAACCCTAGCACAAACTTGGCCTTGATTCTTTTCTACAGCCTCAACTCGAAAACCCAGCTTCAACCTTACCACATGCGTAGATAGACAGGTACACTCGTTGCTCAACCCTTGTAGCTCGGGTATCGTCCACCCACCTCCAAACTTCCGTGCCCCTCGACCCCGCGACACACAGTTTTTTATTTCGTGCCCCTCATCATGGCTCCCAAAATCGATGATTCCATGCCGGCGCGCATATCCTCCGATTGCCCAGACGAGATCCGAGAAGTCCTCTACCATGCCTGGGGTCATGATAGAAGTGGTCTGCAGAAACTGCTAAAAACCACCGGCAAGGCAAATGCTCAGGACCCCAAGACTGGGGAGACACCCTTGCATGCAGCTATCCGTGCCTGCGGGCCAGCTTCTGGGGACGATGACGACCAGGAAGAGGATGGCTCCGTTGAAGAGGCTAAAGAGATAGTTCACGATCTCTTCCTGAGAGGTGCGATTTGGAACGATGTCGATAGCAACAATGAGACACCAGGCTGCCTTGCCCTTAGGCTTGGCCGTAAGCCTCTATACAACCTTTGTGTAGAGGCTGGAGTGCGAGCTGAACTCTTGTTCGCTCTTATGGGGGATTATGAAGCACTGTCATCTGGTTCAGATGATGGTGACGAAGAGATGGAACCTGAACAAGATGGCGAAGAGGCTCCTCAACTGGTATCCGCTGAAGACACAGCCCCTCATCCAGAAGAACCCAAGTTCATTCCTCCCGACGCTCAAGAGAAGCAAGTCACAAGTGAGGAATATCTAAATTCGAAACTTGTATATGACGATGCTAAGCTCGTCGACTCTGACCTCAACGGTGTCATGATGGCATGGGAGACCGACATCATGCGCCGGTCGGTTGCCGGTCTGATTCCCGACTCAGCCCCCGGCAAACGTATCCTCAACATTGGTTTCGGCATGGGTATCGTTGATGGTATGTTCGCTGAATTGAAGCCATCACGCCATCATATCATCGAGGCACACCCGAGCGTTCTTGAGCACCTCTCCAAGGATGAATCCAAATTTGGCCCTAGTTGGGAGAAGAGCGGCCCTGAAGAGGGCGCCTTCAAGGTGCACAAGGGCAAGTGGCAAGATGTTGTGCCAAAACTACTGGAAGATGGTGAGGTTTATGATGCCATTTACTTCGACACCTTTGGTGAAGACTACTCTCAGCTACGTCACTTCTTCTCTGAGTGCATCATTGGCATCATGGACCAGGATGGCAAGTTCAGCTTTTTCAATGGCCTTGGAGCTGACAGAAAGATCTGCTACGACGTATACACCAAGGTGGTCGAGATGCAGTGCGCCGATGCAGGGCTCGATGTCGAATGGGAGGAGAGTGATGTAGACATGTCTGGTCTAGAAAAGGCTGGTGAGGGAGAGTGGGAGGGCGTACGGAGACGATACTGGACCCTGGACAGTAAGACATACCATTTATTTTACATCACTATCAAGCTAACTTCATTTCGCAGAATACCGACTGCCTATTTGCACATTCATGGGCTAGACGAATATATCCATCAAAAGAATTCCAGGCCTGTCAGTGGCACATGCTCTTGATAGTCTTTAAGAAACCCTTCGTCTCTATTCGTGCTTTCATTCAAGTCCACGTCTATCTTCGTTTTCCGTCCAATCCTAATATTAACCTCTGATACCCATCACGCGCCTTTCATCAATCGACCCCCGCTCATGCTTATTTGAAGTTCTCGGGATGGAGGATACCCGCCATGTTGCCCTCATTGATTCGCTTAAGGGTCAGGGCGGCAATCAGGGCGGCGCCGACACCACTGCCGTCCTCAGCAGTAAGAACCTCAATAGGGTCCTCGGCCTTCTTGTCGGTCTTCGCAGGCCAGTCAAGAATTTCTCGCAGAGCCTGAGCTCCTCGCTCCTTGAAGTAGGGGTACTTGTTGAACACGGAGCCATCAGCACCGACGTGGCAAGATTCGTATCCCTTCTTCTTGCAGATAGCAGCAACACCACAAGCCGAAAGGCGAGCAGCACGTGTGCCGATGAGCTCGGCGGTCCTTCGAACGAGCTCCAGTTCGGGGCGTGTGGGCTTCAGGTTCAGCTTCTTGACGAAGAGATCATACGTCTCAGTCAGGTTCTCCCAGGGGTCCCTAAAGCAGAAAATTAGCAGTGTGTGTAAACCCAGCCAAAGAAGAAAACGTACTCTTCAATAGCAGACAGGAAGGAAGCATCGAGGGAGTAAGGCTTGCGTAGCAGAGCGATATCTTGGTTCTCAAAGATATGGATGGCCTTGTTATCGTGAAGGTCAACAAGGATGAGTCGGAAAATCTCGCCAAGGTAGAGACCAGCAATCATCTTTTCGAAGGCTTGTTGTCCTGGGCGAGGAGACTCCTTATCGATAGTCACATCGTAGGCAGTTCGGGGGAGGACCTTGTGCTCGTTGTCAAAAGCTCCCCACTCGCAGTTGATGGCCATGGGCAGATCGGCGGGCAAATTCAGGTCGGCAATCTTAGGAATGGAACCGCAGTCCTCCATGTAAGCAGCATTGCAACCAGTACCAAAGATGCAGCCGATCTTCATAGCGGTATCGGTATAGGCTGAAGCGATCAATGTGCCAGTAGTATCATTAATGATAGCCGCAAGCTTGATGGGGACGCCCTATTCACATGATCAGCAGCGATTCTCTGGGGCTTGAGAGTGATGTTCAGCGTACGCGAGCCTTCAGGGCTTCCTCAAACATAGGCACGATATTCTTGCCCTCCACGCCATCAATGTCGAAGCCCTTGGTCCATCGCTGCAGGATGCCCTCATCGATATAGTTCTGGGTGGCAGGGTACGAGAATGTGAAACCCAGAGGAATTTTCTCCAGCTTGCTGCAGTCTCCATGGTGAGTCTCGAGGAACTGGTAAAGACACTCGGCAATGTATTCCCAAAGCTCCTCAGATGTACCAGACTTGAGCTCCTCGGGCATGCGGTACTTGGACTGGAGGATATCGAACTCGGATTTCTCTTCGGTCAGGGTGATTTGGCAGACTCGCAGGTTTGTTCCGCCCATGTCCAAGGCCAGGTAGGTTCCGGTTTCATAGCCATCGGGGTATGACATGACCCAGGTAGGGTTCATAGGCTATGGACTTGGTTAGAAGCAGGATTGGAGGTGTCTGTTTCGAACTCACGATGCTACCCCCCTCAACACTGAGGCCTGTTGAGAGTCAGACAGTCGTCCCTGTAGTCTGCAGAACAGCAGGGCTCACCTTTGGCTAATTCGGAGACAAAATGGTCGGTAATCTCCTTGAGCTTAGCGGCCTCTACCGTAAAGAGCTTCTCGAGCTTGTGAATCTCATCGGCGAGATCCTTAGGGACATCGGCCATTGATCCTGACATGATTTATCGTTAGCAACAGAGATTTGAGCGGGCTGATATTATTTTGGTTGGATGCAGTTGGAAAAACAAGAGACTGAGGAGAGAAAGGTTAACAGAAGGGCAGCGCATTTTGACTTCAGTGCTGCATGGTCACTGAACAAGCACTGCATCTACACTCTGACAGTAGTACAGTGATTGCCAG